CGTCGCCACGTACACTGAAGCGGCGGGCACTTTGGATGGTACCTTAACACCTTGAGAGCTGGCAGCACGCCGCCGTTCAAAAATCAAAGAACTGCCAGCACGAGTTTCGGGAAAGTGACACTTATGAGACAAAGGAGTTTTGCGCAAGGTGCTCGGGATCATTGAATTAGAAAGTAACAATAGACGTGACACCTCACGTTAGCGAAATATGTTAACGTAAGTACGTTACCCATTGCGGTTCCTGAATTCTCACATCTACTTCACTAAGTTACCAAAAAAATCATTGTATTTCCACGGAGTGAATGATGAAGAACGGACAGAAGCGTTTTTCCACCCGTTCGCGCGTCCGGGTGGTCAGATGAACAGAGGCATGGACGAGCGGACGGACGGGCGGATGGAAGAATGGATGGACTAATAGACCCATGGACGGACGAACGCATGTATGGACGGAAACACGAACGAACAGACGAACGCTCTCACGGATGCACAGACGGATGGACAGATGCTCAGACCTAAGCACGGATAGAAAGGCACACAAGCAGACAGAGGGATGGATAGAAGAGAGGACACACGTACAAGTGGGGGCACAGGTAAGTGTGCGGGCCGACGGACTGGCAGACGGACGGACGGCTGACACACGGACCGAGAAAAGCATGGACACATTACAGATGAATGGAAGCCTGAACGGACGGATGGACGGAAGGACGAATGGATTGTGGTGGTGGAAGGAAACATTTTATTGTAGGAAATCCACCACAGAGTTGCGGCATATTGCAGGCTGTAGTGACAAGACCCTATTCCGGGACGCCAATGGAGTTGGAATTTGCCCGAGGGTGCCTCTTGAAGGAGCGTTGAGCATCCAAGGCGTAGTAGCCAAGCACGTACTCCTCCCAAGCCTTTCTTGTTGAGATGGGGAAAGGTGATGAAAAAGAAAGGGGGTTGGTGGGGCAGGAAGACACGAAGTGGTAGGTGTCGGTGGCTAGAACCTGGGAAGTTGAGCAGGTGCCACTGATTTCCGGCAAAAAATGCCTGTTGACCGGCGGACCTAGATAGCTGTTCGTCTGGAGGCGCGTAGTATTCGCTCGTCCGTCTGCTTTTTCCAGACCACATAAGGGGTCCGGGTAGAGGCGGTGGGAAGCCCGGTAATAGGCCCGAATATAGCGGAAGCGCGTCAGGATCGTAATGACAGATGCTAACTCGAGGAACAGTCCGGCGGAGAGAAACGCGGGAAGCGGCATTCACCGCCTCGTACCGAGGAGGCCGAGTGGTCTCGGTTCCACACTAAACGAATGGCGTGAGGGTTAAAGGGTCAAGAGGCTGCCCAAAGTAAGTGAACTGCTAGAAGGGCTTGGAACTCTGAAGTCAATGGGGACAGGCTGAGCGCGAGTCCATCAAGATGGTGCTTGAGGTGGGATGCGAGGCAGCCAAAAAAATGGCGAAATCCTTAGCTTGCGTCACTGTGTTGGCTCCAAAAAAAGGCCATCGACTTGTTTTCCCACTGTGATCACGGTGGCCGTGAAGGGACAGGAGGGGGCAGGGGGCGAGACGTCAACACTTAAAACGCCAGGGTGATCGGAGTGTCGCACCTGAATGGCTGTGGAATGTGCTGATCTACGGCTGGGATGTAGCTCGGGGTACATGTTGCGGGGTGGTGGTTGCACCTATAGCATTTGACGTCAGAGTTCCGGTATGGGCATCGGACTGTCTTGGCCAGAAATCGCATTGAGACCGAGCCTGTGTAGCAGACGGCGCCCCGAAGAAGTCTGTGAGAGAAAAATAATTTGGATAACTTGATGAGCTTTACGCAGCTCTGCAAAGGAGATATGAACCCCCAGTGTCGCGGATCGGCTGTTGGACGTGGCAATGGGAAGGTCGCGTGCTCGTTAGTATACTGAATGAAGGAGGACGTCCGGCTGGTGCTCGTTTTGACGACGCAGACAAAGGTAAGGTGAGGCGTACAGGACGCGATAGAGCACAAATGCATGGGCCAGGAGCATGGACTAAGTCCAGCGGACACCGCTGTGCTTGGTAGATAACCACCGTATGATACGGCTCACCCATTCGCTGGTACATCTGAGGCTTGCTATTTGTGCCCTTGGGATCCAAAGTTTTGGTGATGTGAAACCCAAGTATCCGAATTTTTTCGACAGCTAGATGGAGCGGGACCAGTTGGAAGCAAAGCCGGAGGTGTAGGTAAGTGGGATAGCGAGAGAATAGCCCATTTAGCTGGAGAGCACTCTAAGCCACATGAAGTGGCGTACGCGATCAACCGAAGGGCAGCCTTTTGTGGCCTCTCTTCGATTTGCACTAGGGAGCCGGTGCTCGTCAAAATTCCTATATCATCGGCTTTTAGTCCACGGTGTATTCCCTCGACTTCGCGCAGAAGAGAGGGGAGGTTTTTTATGGTCAGGTTGAAGAGTAAGGGAGGCAGGACGGCCCCTTCAGTTTTACCCGTGCGCTTACGAGGTAAGGACCATGTTCGATGGAAACAAGGCGGATGAAATTGGCAGGATGAGATAGAAAAGCTCGTAGGTAGAAAGTGCTGTGACCGAAATTTGTGGTCTAGAAAGAATACTACTGCGTTTTACGTTACAAAACGCTCCTCTAAGATCGAGAGTGAGCGCGGCTTTATCGTTACAGTGCATAGTGGTCGGTTTTATAATGTCATATTGCAACTTGTGCAGGACGTCTTGTGCAGACAGATGCGGGCAAAAGTCAGACATCGTGTCAGCAAATGCCCCTTGTTCTATAGATGGACAGAAAAGCGTTCGCGTGCCATGGTTTCCGTAAGCTTTCTGGCACAGCAGGTTGGTGAGATGGCTTTCAATGCCTCGATGCTGACCGGTTTGCTGGATTTGGGTATGAATTTTGCGATGTAACTCGTCCATTCCGAAGGAACGTGGAGCCATCCAATATCGAATTTATCAGGTGGAGTAGCGAGAGGTGTACCGCAATGGGAAAGCTAGCCAGGAGCGACACTTTGATGCCATCTCGCCAAGGGCCTCACCCCGTCGCATTTTCGCCAGTGGAGCCCGTAAATCCGAAAGCGTGTACGACGCATAGAGCTCAGCGTTAGGAGTGCTTCGGACGGAAAGAAGCACGACAAGTGGACAGACGGGTGAATGGATGGACGCATGAACGGTTAGGCACACGGACGAACAGCCCCACGCTTCGCCCCACTGATCATCATTCACTCCGTGGATATGCTTTGTGAAAACCGCTAACGCCATCTAGTTGTAATATTCCCAAGGACATTTACGCACAACGCCATCTATTGAGCAAGTCTTAAACTATATGTGGCTACACACATACATACGGAGGATGATACTACCCACGGGCTAAGGAGCGTCACCCCTAAAAGTAACGCGTTACTGGTGATGCAGTTATTTATAACGCGTTGCCGTCTCCATTGACTGTCTAGGGCATGGGGAAGGGAAGTTCGGTGGATAGAGACAGTTGAGAGATGAAGATGAACAGGACAAAAGAGACTGACGCATAGCAGTCATATACAGAGGGAGGGAAAGGAAGTGATGAAAAACAAAACGAGAGAAAATCAAATACCAAGAGAGAAATAGAGAGTGAGTGAACGGAAGTTACAAGTAGCGATGGAGAGAAACGAATACAAATAGACGAGAGCACGCCTATCTCGTACGAAGGCTTCCGACGGCATCCTTCACATGAAGACGTCATTTTGTGTTAAATACCAAGACATGTATCTCTTGCGCCTAATTATCGAGAGAAGCGGCACCTCCGGAACACTTAAATGCGACAAAGCGGCTGTTCACGCCGCTCCCCATTACAAGAAGGGGACTGGGCGCCACGGCGGTGTTTTCGTATGGGAAAGCAACGAATGCACCTAAAGCAAGAAATTGCTCAGCACTGTTCGTGCATAGTGCAAAAGAGAACAGTACTGTGCAGGTGCGGTGTTTTCAGATTCCGCAGATTGCCTTCCGTGATGAAAAACCATGGGCTCCGCCGCCAGTGCATACGTGCAGTAAACAGGAAAAACTATGATCCTAGAAGTGTTCGAGTGAGTAAACTTACTGCTTTTATTCGAGCCAACTAATTGGTTTAGCGGCAGTAGTTGGTGGGCAGTGCCTGTAGTATGCGGCTTCAAATCACTGCCGTATTCATTCGGAAATGTGCCTATAATTGCAGATATCACAACTCACGCGTGCAGGTGCACGCTACGCATGTCGACTACAAATATAAAGAAGCACATCTGGTGCAATGTTTATTCATTGAAAACCCCTTTGAACAGCGACAACATGGTCATATTTATGCATCAGATACTTTGCAGCGAAATGAAAGTTTCTGTATTGACATTTCATTGTAATGAGTGAAATAAACATTATATTACCTATTTTAAAAGTTTGCAGAAATATCAAGCAACCCTAACCTATTTTATTAATGTATTTATTTGTATATTTGCTAAATAGGAAAATTTGTCATAGAAATGTTGCAAATCATTCATGAAACACAAAGTTACGTATGCCTTAGAGTTTTTTTATTGAAGATCAGCTGTACATTTGGCATATTGTTCTTTGGCAACATTCATGTTAAATCAGTATCGTTGGCGCGTAATGAACGACCCGGTCCACTTCACACTTTGGCAGTAGAAAGCACTGGAAGCAACCCAATTTCAAAAACGTGTCACAGGAACAATGTGACAGCGGTTACTGTTGTGAGTTGAATAGATGAAGTCCAAGTGAAGCCTTTAATAGGGGCGATAGTATATATCTCACTAGATTGCAAACAAGATTTTCATTCCTGCGATGGATGAATAGTTGGTGGAACTAGTCCGCCGATGGCGCAGTGTAACTAATTTAACAATCGCCAATGCCGTTAGGAGAAATAAATCTGGTATTCTAAGGCTGACTAGCCTGCCGCTAGAAATATGGGCTAAAATAATGAGAAACAATGAGAGCACATAGCTTGCTTAAATTACCCCCGCACAGTGAGTGAGTGGCAGACGTGCTCACGAAATCGACTCCACACTTCACCAACAATTATTTTATTTGCAACAAAAGAAACAATATTACAATCATAAATAATATTTTAAGTAACATATATACAAGTGCGCTAAAATGCACAAGAGCTTGTTACGTGACAGGCAGTGGGATTATGTTGGATTGCCCGAAGGCTATCTGCGTGAAGGCTGCCAAGCTGCTCAATCCCGGACAACCTCGGCAACCAACAGCTTCGTGTGAGAGCCCATTAACAAGCCCGGGCTTCAAATCCCCACCCAAAGGGCGATACGCTGAGGCCGCGCTGCTCCAAAGCGAATGTGCCGTCTTTCACGCCCAGGGGAGCGATACTCATGCTGGTTCGAGTCTTCGAATGTTTTGAGCCACTTTGCTGCATTGAGAGCACAAAAATTATCAACAAAGTTTTCAAAACGCATGTTCATAAGCTGCTATACTAAAGTTCTTATATTGAAATATTTCTTATTTGACTGTCAGTAAACTGTGCTTCTGGAATACAATAACAACATTGTCATCTTCAATTTCTGCAAAAAGTACTTTCATTTGTCGCAGTGTAATTATTCTGCTTTCAGCGTGAAATGTTCCTAAGTTGTCTTGACTTTCAGAGTTCAGTAATCTTTGTTCTGAGAGTGCACTTGACTCTACGGAGGCAAAAAGTTAGGCAGAAAGTTATTGTAGACGAGCTAAAATAAATTTATGCGTGCCAAAATACCTATAATATTCTTGTTCAAGACTAGACCTCGAGTTCGAGCGTAAAAATTTAACTAATGAATCGATGGCAGGATTCTTTTTTTTTCGATGCATATTTGTAGTACCCATTGGTATTGCGTGCTAACTACGATTCTCTATTATTAAGCCATGTGGGCAGTGTCATCGTATGTCGTATGTACCACATCGGCAATTTGGCAATCACGCATATTTATAGGGCGTTAGTTTTTGAGAGAACAGGGATTTCTTATTATTAAAAAATCAGTAACCCTGATGCACCCTTCCTTTACGCAGAACAACTGTATGTCAAGGTGGAAAGGCTTTGACAGCGCTAAAAGAAATTGAATTGTCAAAATAAACAAGCTCTTCACCTAATGTTTCATTTATTAATCCAAAGGCACTTATATGAACCGCCACGGCGAGCCACAATTTGTCTTATTCCGATTCGACAAGCATCGCGCAAGTTGCAGGTAATTTGCGATATTCGTTACAAAAGTCTGATTCTTGGCTCGAACTTCGCATTGCGGATCATGGTACTTTTTGATGAACTTCTTTTCTTGTCGCTACGAAATTAGTCATTATCATTGAATCAATAACTCAAGAAGACTACGCAGGAAGCGTTTTCCACTGATTGCTGCAAAATAAACCACGTAAAAAATAACAAGCCAATATGTACCTGTCTGTTTGCCGCCATCCTGTGCTGCTTTACAGTGCCATGTCACTCAGGGCTTCTTGCGGGGCGTTTTCGTCGCTTGTGGTGTAAGGCTTGCTTGCTGCCCTTGCCATAGAGGAAGCCGCACTGGAGTAGCTGGTCGACCTTATCATCTCGCTTGGCTTCAGTGTCCCGGTTGTCGGGGAAGATGTCTTCGAGGGCACACTGATAGAATGGGCAGGCAACGACGTCTTTAGCCGCTTCTGGAATACCATTTGTTGAGACCCAGGAGGGCTCCTCGGCAGATGGTGACTCCTCCGAGAAGGTGGAGTCATGAACGTCGACTAGACGACGAGTCTCGATGCCATTCGAAGTATCTGGGCTCATGACAGGTAAGAGGTGGATGCCGTTCGCTTACGCAGCCGAGGCAGGCGTTCTGTGGCAGATGTCGAGTGAGCCGCTCGCGCCAGCTGGTGAAGAAGACGATTCGTCTTGTCTGCGCGCGATGGTTGTTGTTGTTGTTTTCCTATTGTTAGTGGCGCATACCACTGTGGGGGAGTGGCCAAGAATCGAGTGGTTTCAACATTTACTGTTCATATTTGGAATGATGGAAGTTTAACAGAAAGATTACCGATAGCATAGGAAAGTGTGGTGCTTAATGTAATGCATACAAATATATACATAAACTAATTTATTCTCAGAATAGAGCAATAATCAGATTTTATACGTATATAATTATGTGAACCTGTTAGGATAATGCTTGCTTGCTTGCATTACCTCTGCTTACCTCTGCTTTGGCTAGTACCCACTACAGAATATTGGCCATTAAATCAGCGGTAATATAATGGGAAAGAGAAAAATTTTAAATTTATATGAAAAAAAATAAATAATCAGTCATTTAGGGGCGTGACCTCAGAGTCATTTTTCTACTTCCAGTACTCCCTTTTGTAAAGGAAATGTGCTTTGAAATATTCTCTTGTCGAGTTTTAGCACTTTCAGTCTAGAGATACACTAGAATGAAAGATGTATTCATTTGTCACTGAAGGAGAATATAAAACAATTTATTTAACCGATTTGAATACTGCGTGATGGCTACCCATTTATTCACACAGATACAGCAGTTTTGCAGAAATGTTTGGGTCATATCTTCGTTGAGGGTAATAAAATCATTATTTTTTAAAATAAAAAATTACAGGATATCCACTGAGTGAATGATGATGAGATGGTTGAAGCGTCGAAGGGCTTATTCGGCACGCAATACCAAAAGGTACTAAAAATATGCATTGGAAAAAAATCCTGGCATCATTTCATTAGTTAGATTCTTACACTCGCACTGAAGGTCTAGTCTGAAACAAAAATACTATAGGTATTTTGGCACGCATAAATTTTTTAGCTCGTCTACAATACCTTCCCGCCTAACTTATTGCCTTTTTAGAGTCAAGTGCACTCGCAGAACAAATATTATTGACCTCTGAAAGTCACCACTTTTTAGGAACATTTCACGATGAGAGCAGAATGTTTACACTGCGAGAAATGAAAAGTGCTTTTTTTCAGAAGTCGAAGATGACATTGTTGTTATTGTATTCCAAAAGCACCGTTTTCTGGCAGTCAAATAAGAAAGATTTCATTATAAAACTATAATATAGCAGCTTATGAACATGCGTTTTGAAAACTCTGTTGATAATGTTTGTGCTCTAAATGCAGCAAAGTGGCTCCAAACATTCGAAGACTCGATCCAGCATGAGAATCACTCTCCTGGGCATGGAAGACGGGACATTCGCTTTGGAGCAGCGCGGCCTCAGCGTATCGCCTTTGGTGTGGGCATTTGAAGCCCGGGCTTGTTAGTGGGCTCTCACACAAAGCCATCGGTTGCCGAGGATGTCCGGGATTGAGCAGCTTGGCAGCCTTCACGCAGATAGCCTTGGGACAGTCCAACATGATCCCGCTGCCTTTCACGTAACGGGCTATTGTGCATTTTAGCGTACTTGTATATATGTTACTTAAATTTTTATGTATGATTGTAATATTGTTTCTTTTGTTGCAAATAAAGATAATTTCTGGTGAAGTGTGGAATCAATTTCGTGAGCACGTCTACCACTCGCACACTGTGCGGGGGTAATTTAAGGAAGCTATGTGCTCTCACTACTTCTCATTATTTTGGCCCATATTTCTAGTGGCAGGCTAGTCAGCCTTAGAACACCAGATTTAGTTCTCCCAACGGTCTTGACGATTTTTTAATTAGTTAGATTGAGCCATCGCAAGACTAGTTCCACCATCTATTCATCCATCGCAGGAATCAAAATCTTGTTTGCAATCTAGTGAGATATATACTATTGCCCCTAATAAAAGCTTCGCTTGGACTTCATCTATTCAACTCACAACAATAACCGCTGTCACATTATTCCTGTGACACGTTTTCGAAATTGGGTTGCTTCCAGTGCTTTCTACTGCCAATGTGTGAAGTGGACTGGGTCGTCAATCACGTGCCCACGATACTGAATTAGCATGAATGGTGCCAAAGAACAATATACCGAATGTACAGCTGATCTTCACTGAAAAATTCTAAGGCATACGTAACTTTGTGTTTCATGAATGATTTGCAACATCTCTATGACAAGTTCTCCTATTTTAAGAAATAGACAAATAGATAAATTATTAAAACAGGTTAGGGTGGTTTACATTGCACAAAATTTAAAAATTGTTATTATGATGTTTATTTCACTCATTCCCCTAAATGTCAATGTTGAATTTTTCTTTTGAGCACAAATAAGTGCGCCATAATTATGACCTTGTTGTCATATATCACTTCTTTTCCTTCCCTCCGTATATGACTGCTATGCGTCAGACTCTTTCGTCCTGCACATCTTCATCTCCGAACTGTCTTCCTCAACTTAACTTGCCTTGCCGATGCCCTAGACAGTCAATGGTGGCGGCAACGCGTTACAAGTCACTACGTCACCAGTAATGCGTTACTTTTAGGGGCGACGCTCCTTAGGCCGTGGGTAGTTTCATCCTCCGTATGTATGTATGTAGCCACATATAGTTTATAACTTGCTCAATAGATGACGCTGTGTGTATATGTCCTTGGGAATATTACAACTACATGGTGTTAGCAGTTCTCACAAAGCATATCCACGGAGTGAGTGGTGATCAATGTGGCGAAGCGTGCGTCCGTTCGTCCCCGTGTCTAACCGTTCATGCGTCCATCCGTTCGCCCATCTGTCCACTCGTCCGTGCTTCCTACCGTCCGCGGCACCCCTAACGCTGAGCTCTATGCGTCGTACACGCTTTCGGATTTACGGGATGCCCTGGAAAAATGCGGCGGGGCGCGGTGCAGGGCGAGATGGCATCACAGTGTAGCTCCTGCCTAACATTCACAATGAAGAACACCTCTCGCTACTCCACCTCATGAATTCGATATGGGATGGCTCCACATTCCTTCGGAATGGACGAAATACATCGTTAAATTCATACCCAAATCCAGCGAACCGGTCTGCATCGAGGCATTGAGAGCCATCTCGCCAACCTGCTGTGCCAAAACGATTAAGGAAACCATGGTACGCGAACGCGTTTTCGTCCATCTATAGAACAAAAGACATTGGCCGACATGATGTCTGGCTTTTGCCCGCATCTGTCTGCGCAGGACGTCCTGGTCAAGTTGCAACAAGACATTATAAAACCAACCGCTTTGCTCTGTAACGATAAAGTCATGCTCGCTCTCGATCTTTGAGGAGTGTTTCATAACGTCAAACGCAGTAGTATTCTTTCTAGACCACAAATTTTGGTCAGAACACTTTCTACCTATGAAACTTTGTATCTCATCCGGCCGATTTCATCCGCCTGGTTTCCGTCGAACTTGACCCGCACCTGGTAAGCACACGGATAAACCCAGAGGGGCTGTCCTGCCGCCCTTACTCTTCAACCTGACCATAAAAGACATCCCCTCTGTTCTGCGCGAGGTCGAAGGAATACACCACCGACTATGCGCTGACGATAAAGCAATTTCGGATAACACCGGCTCCAAAGCGCAAATCGAAGAGCGCCCACAAAACGCCGCCCTTCTGTTGATCGCGTATGCCGCTTCGTGTGGTCAGAGTGCTCTCCAGCTAAATGGGTTATTTTCTCTCTATTTCGCTTACCTACACTCCCAGCTTTGCTTCAATGTGGTCCTGTTGGATCTGTCGAAAGAGCTCGGATTCTCGGGTTTCATATCACCTAATTTTTCGATCCCAAGGACCCAAATAGCAAGCCTCAGATGTACCAGCGAACAGGTGAGCCGTATCATACGGTTGGTATCTACCAAGCACGGCGGCCTCCACTGGATCCAGTCCATGCTCCTGGCCCATGCATTTGTGCTCTATCGCGTCCTGTACGCCTCACTCTGCCTTCGCCTGCGTCGACAAAACGAGCACCAGCTGGACGTCCTCTTTCATTCAGTATACAAACGAGCACGCGACCTCTCCATTGCCACGTCCAACAGCCGATTCGCGGCACTGGGGGTTCATAACCCCTTTGCACAGCGGCGGGAAGCTCATCACGTTAGCCAAACTATTCCTCTCACAGACGCCCTCCAACAGCCGATTCACGGCACAGGGGGTTCATAACTCCTTTCCAGAACTGCGGGAAGCTCATCACGTTAGCCAAATTATTCCTCTCACAGACGCCCTCAGGGCGCCGTCTGCTACACAGCCTCGGTCTCAATGCGATTTCTGACCAAGACACTCCGATGCCCATACCGGAACTGTGGGGTCAAAAGCTATGGGTGGACCCGCTACCCCGCAACATGTACCCCGAGCTACATACCAGCCGTAGATCAGCACGTTCCACAGCCCTTCAGGGGCGATACTCTGATCCCCCTGGAGTTTTCAACGTTGACATCTCGCCCCTACCCCCTCGTGTCCCTTCACGGCCACCGTGATCACAGAGGAAGACACGTCGATGGCCTCTTGTTTGGAGCCAACACTTTGACGCTAGCTGAAAATGTTGCCATTGTTTTGGCCGCCTCGCATCCCACCTCAACCACAATCTTGATAGACTAGCGCTCCGCCTGTTCCCATTAACTTCAGGGTTCCATAGCCCCGGTGGCAGCTCACCTACTTTGGGCAGCCTTTTTCGTTTAGTTCGAAACCCAGACCACTCGGCCTCCTCAGTACGAGGTGGTGAATTCCGCTTCCCGCGCTTCTCTACCCCGGACCGTTCCCCTCATTATCACGAGTTGGCATCTGGCAATACGATCCTGACGCGCTTCCGCGATATTTAGTCCTATCACCGAGCTTCCCACCGCCTCTACCCGGACCCCTCATGTGGTCTGGAGCGAATAGTACGCGCCTCCAGACGAACAGCTATCTAGGT